TAAAAATGGAAACTTATTAATCTGAATGAATGATGTAGGAATATATATTTCTTTTGATACTGGACTGTTCCTGTCAAAAACGAGACATCTTTTATAGAAATGTTTGATAAAGGAACATATATATTACTTTGATACAATTATGTTCATGTCAGATTACTAGCATTATGGAAAAACAAAGTGGATATCAATAGACAATTTGTTGTCCAAACCATTTGGATGATTAAATATTCTGTAAAGATATACAGGAATATTGCATTTTGGGTGCAAAGCAAAAGACAAAAATTACTGTTTATATTGTTTAAATTAAAATAAACACTCATATATATTATATATATATATATATATATATATATATATATATATATATATATATATATATATATATATATATATTAGCCATCAACTAATCTCAGACAAGTTTTGCTTTTTATACAGTAATGGGTATTATAGCTTCTAATTTTGACAAGTCATGAAAAAGTTAAAGAAATTAAATAATATTAAAGAATTGTAACAGATGTTATTTCAGATAAATGAAATAATTACATTACAAATGTATTTTGCATGTAAATTTTGCAAATTTACCGCATTCAAAACACCAAAACACAGACACTGGGTCCAAAGGTTAAAGATGACATTTTAGTTTGACGTCACAAACATTTAACGCGTAAACTTTAACAAAATATCACGCTCCCTATGAATAGAAGCTGTTTCATTTGCTCTTCCATCAACTGGAATTTACCTGAAAGATAATACAGGGATTCTAAAATAAAAATCACATGTGCAATGAAAAACAACAATATAAGCATTGAATCATTTTCTTAATAAATGCAAGGGTGTGTGCAAACAAATTTTTAGCTCACCTGAGCCGAAGGCTCGAGTGAGCTTTCTGATTAAAATTTGTCCGTTGTCTGTCGTCGTCGTCATTGTCATCGTTGTCGTTGTCGTAAACTTTTCACATTTTAATCCTCTTCACAAGAACCACTGGGCCAATTTCAACCAAACTTGGCACAAAGTATCCTTGGGTGAAGGGGATTCAAGTTTGTTCAAATGAAGGGCCACGCCCTTTTCCACGGGGAGATAATTATGAATTAGAGAAAAATTAATGGTATTTTTAAAAATTCTTCTTCTCATGAACCATTGGAACAGGAAAACAAAACTCATGTGAAATCATCCTCAGGTAGTGTAAATTCAAATTGGTTCAAATCATGATCCCCGGGGCTAGGTTGGGGCCATAATGGCCGTTAAAAGTTTTATATAGGAATATATAGGAAAATTCTTTAAAAATGTTCTCAAGAACCACTGGGCCAGGAAAGATGAAACACATGTGGAATCATCCTCAGGTCGTGTAGATTCAAGTTTGTTCAAACCATGACCCCCGGGGGTAGGGTGGGGCCAAAATGGCCGATCAAAATTTTACATAGGAATATATAGGAAAAATCTTGAAAAATCTTCTTCTTAAGAACCATTGAGACAGGAAAGATAAAACTCATGTGAAATTATCCTCAGGTAGTGTAGATTTAAATTTGTTCAAATCATGACCTCTGGGGCAAGGGTGGGGCCATAATGGGTGTTAAAAGTTTTACATAGGAATAAATAGGAAAAATCTTTAAAAATCTTCTCCTCAAGAACCACTGGGTCAGGAAGGATGAAACTCATGTAGAATGATCTTCAGGTAGTGTACATTCAAGTTTGTTCAAATCATGACCCCTGGGGGTAGGGTGGGGCCAAAATGGTCGATCAAATTTTTCATAGGAATAAATAGGGAAATGTTTTAAAATCTTCTTTTCAAGTACTTCAAAGCCATGATTAGTGATATTTATATGGAATCTTCCTCAGGTAGTTTAGATTCTAGTTTTTTTAAATCATGACCCCTGGGGTTACAATTTAAGCCCCCTCCAACCTCAGTAAACTTTCATTTCTGATCTGATATGTGCTTTTTCCTAGCCGATGTGCTCAGGTGAGTGCTGTGGCCCCTAGGCCTCTTTTTATAATTTTTTTTACAAAGCGTTTAATTCAATTTGTTTGCACAAGCCGCTGCAGTTACATTGTATGAGACCATATCATTAAACAAAGAAATAATGATTCGTCGCTGAAATAATTAAAATATGATGATAAAGATCAATATTCTAAATCAAAATTTCACTGAATAAAAACAAAAATTGGCCTTTAAAACAACCAGAATTTAAATTGAAGGAGAAAATGCATTGATGAATATTATTTAAAGTCAACAAGATCATTCATATTTTCTTAAGTATATTTAGTTGTACATCACACGATGATTTTCACTCTGGCAAAATACATAGGTTATACGCTTATGTCCCGTACTGATGATTTGTTAGATCGATCTTCTCCTCTACACATTTTTATATTAGTATTTAATAGAAATGTTTAATACTTATATTCTACCTTATTATTAACCTATCTTTTTCTGTATGCAAGAAGATGAAACTGTGGGACTATTGAGCTGTGGGACTGTGATCCAATTTAACCCTCCCCTTTTACTCAATTAGAATCTTAGTATCTGTAGACGATAAATATGTAATATGAGTATATTATTTCTACTTAGTGAATGTTTTGTTTGAGGTTGTATTGACTGACTGAATCATTTATATTAACAAGTTTTCATCGTTTTTCTTTATATTACAAAAATGTTCATATTAAAAGTTAAACTCATTTTACATTTTATTGGTTTATATTGATTAGATAATAGGGAAATAAAATAAGTAAAAACTATAATACGAGAGCTCGTATTAATGTTATAAGTCTCATTTTATACAGATCCCTTCCCCAGTACACTACACTTCCAAATGCCAACACCAGACTTGATGAGTGAATTAGCAACTGAAGGTTTATTTTTTTTATAGAAGTAGCTCTGTATTTCGTAGCAGTATGTGTGTATTATGTAGCAGTATCAGTGTAATATGCAGTAGTATTTGTGTATTACGTAGCAGTATCCGTGTAATATGCAGTAGTATTTGTGTATTACGTAGCAGAATCCGTGTAATATGTAGCTGTATCTTTGTATTATTCTTTCTGTAGAGATTACAGATTTGCTAAATTAGATATTTAGAAGGATGAATATGTAGGTATACCTCTAGTGCATTGCAATTTAAAGCTAATACATGTTTACCTTTATTATAGCAATGTAGAAACCGGAGAACAATAGTAACTGTTCCCTGTACTATATTGCTTATGCCATATTTTCCTCTTAATTCTTATAAACTTAACTCAGGTTTTGTCACCTTATCTATTTCAATATTTCTTTGAACACTTAATGCAACTGAAAAGTTGCAATTAACTCAACTCGCTGTTTTTATTCAGAATAATACAAAATATATATACTTGATTTGATATTTGAAAAAAATATGTATCAAAAATACTTAGAATATAATGTCTGTTATGTATTTGATAAAGAACATATATGTGCATTTACGAAGGACGTTACAACGTGTTGTTAAAGTTAAGTAAAAATCAGAACATTTCTTGTAAATGTGATTTTGTACGTAATACAGTTATATAGCCAAAAAAGCATAAATGAGATATTCTTTTCGTGAAATATATGGAGATAACGAACTGTATTCAAGATCAAAATTCCATAACACAATACAAAACAGGGGCAGAGCAATCACGGGCCCCCAAGACATCACAGGTGGGATAAGGTGCCATTGAGGATTGAGTATCCCCCTTATTTGTATAAAATTGTGCCTTGAGAATTATAATGTTTTATCACAATCACTAGTCAATAACAAAGGTATTCCATTTCATGTCATTATTTGTTATCAGGAATATGTGCAATAGCAGGACTATAGGGATCATGATATTAAATAGTCAAATTTTAAAATTAAAAAAAAATAAACTTGTTTGAGAGAACTATTCAATGATAAGAAATGGAGTTTAAAAAAAAATAAAATTGTTTGTTGCATACAATAACTGTGCAGAATGCACATTGACGAGCTTTTGTAGAGACTAACATCATTTCCGACTCTTTTAGACGGCGCTACATTTATTAAGATTTTTTTTTTTTGGCATAAAATACTTCCTAGTTTTTCAAAAGGAACATTTTTTTTTTCTATTTTTGTATATGATTCTAAAAGAAACCCTGACACAACTATTTAATTACCTTAATTACATGCAATATAAATTGAAAAATGCATTTCCAATAATGTGCAATGTTGATTTGTAAGCGACTTGAGAAGATATATTTTTATACATAATTAATTTAAGATTTTGCATTTTTATCAAGCACAATAGATACTAAACACGCACTATAGCTCGCTTCTCTTCAATTAGGTTGCTATGCTACACATTGTAGATATAAGTATATATAGGTATATATGTGTAAACAACCTGTTTCCTGTATAATGAATGATGCAACACATAAACAAAACCAAATAAATATGGATATAAAAAAGACATACCCCGGTATTAGATAATTGAAGCTTTGATGTGAGAATGTCATTCACAAAAATACTATGGATGATGTTATGGTTTACTATTCACCGTAAATTACATTTTACAATCTATATATATTCATAATTGACCATTCAATATGAATAAATGTAAATCTACTTCCTTACATGTCAAAAATTATCTTTTTGTCATAATTAAGAAGATAATTACAGTGAAACCTCATGCACTGGGAGAAATTTTTGTGTCGGAATAGACAGGGTGTCGGATTGCACAGAGTTAAAAACTAGGAAAATACTAAAATGGGAAAGAAATGTAACGTCGGAATTCACAGTGTGTCGGATTATTCAGGTGTCGGATTAGACAGTTTATTACTGTACTATATATTTCTTTGAAGAAAAAAGATTCTAATACCTTTCGTTGCAAGTTATTGTTTTTTTCTGTTTTCTTACACGTTTTTTACTTTTAATGCACATTACTATACACCAACAAAATAGTACTTAAAGTGACTTATTTACACAAGATAATGTTAAGGATTTGCAACGAAAACGTTTTAATATATATGGCTCGCTCCTAAATAAATAAACATTTCAATGATCATTTCAGGCAACAGTATCGCAGGTCTTCGGCAAAGTAAGTTCTTTCATTTTTTTTAAATAATTTCTTGAAAGAGTAAAAAAGTAGACATGTATTAAAATGGCGTCATTCATTATCCAAAAGGAACAATGCATTTATATTTAGATTTACTCTGAGTAATATTGTAATAAAATGGTTGTGTTTATTATGATATGAAACAATTTTTTCTGATTTTGCTTTACATTGACTAACCCTTTTTTTTAGATAAAATAATTTACATTATTATCTTTCAAATCATTCATTATTTAGATTTATTCTATGTATAATTTCTTAGAACTTCTGGAGCGTCTTCTGATGAACAATCAACTACAACAAATGACCGGGCAAGGATTAGGAAATACCATGAACATCGGAGGTGGATCTTTAACTTCTCCATCTCTGGGGAGCGGTTTAAATGCAGGTTTGATGACAGGAGGCGGACTAACAACTACTGGTGGGTTGGGTAGTCCTAGTCTCAGTTTATTGGATTCCGGGGGACTGCTCGGGAGGGGCACTCAAACCCCCTCCCTTAATGTGGCCTCTCTACTGGATTCCATGTCGGCTCCTAGAGCTCAGATCTCACGTATGTTCCAAATGTACTTTTATACATTGTAATCATTTCAATATTAATTACTGAATTACATACAGAGAAACATTCATTTTGGAAACTAAAAAGCTGGAAAACTTTCAGGTCATCAAAAAATGTATTAAACATACAATGGGGAAAACTATAATTAAGAAAATAGAAGTATATAAGAATTTCTACAATCGGTATAAACTACTAATATTTTTTTTACATCGGTATATGTTTTCATCAGTAGTGTCATGTTTTACCAGTTTAAATGTCAAATAATATGAGTGTCCATTAGAAATTTTCATAAACTTTTTATACTTTGAGTATCGCATTAGAAGCCAATAAGTTTAATCGACCTGCTTTGATTAGTGTTCACTATTTATTTACTGGTTTAGATTACAAACGGGTTTTAGAGGGGCATGGACACAGTTCACCTTTAAAATTTCAAACTTATTCTGTTATATTTATAAATATTAAACTAAGGTCTTTCTAATGATTATTAAAACTGAGCTTCATTTGTTGAGATACAAGAGATTCAGAGCTCCAAACCTTTAATATGTAAACAGGGGCCGTGGCATGTTTTTGTTTATGTAGGTTAATATACTAATATATGTCCGTCTAAATCAGATAATTTTAATAAAGAAGTTTATTCTGTATACGTTTAGACTCTCTCTCTCTCTCTAGTAAATGGCTGAATTTTATGTTGTTATTTATATGATACTATCTATAAGTGAACAGAAACAAGACATGAACCTTGGTTACATTATGAAGAATTTTAAGTTCTGATTCTCGTTTGATAATCAACAGATGATGTTCAAATTTTCGCTGATCATTAGATGAAGCCTTAGTTAGGAATTGTAAACATTAGAATTGGTTTAAAAAATTCAATTGAAACTGTGTCCATGTCCCTTGAAATCCTTATGACTATAAATATACCTTAAATAGTATTTAAAATGATATGAAGATGATAATCCCCATTACGCTCATGTTGTTAAAATATTAAAAAGGTATATGTCATATACTTCTAATTGTAATTATGTTACATAATGATTGCATATTGCAATCAAAGAAAAATGTTAAGTTGTAATATGAAAGACCATCGGGTAGACGGACACTAGATAGGAAAAGTAAGAGTTATGGATTACCAAAAAATCGTCAAATTATTTGACTACGTATGTTTTAATATATAGGTCAAAATATTTTTTGTTCGAAATTTGTACGTGGTATCTGAAACTTTTCAATATATACATGTAATATTTGTTTAAAAATAAATTACAATTGCGTTATATTTCATTTGTTCTATTTTTGTATTCTAGAGCCAACTAAAGTGCTAACCAGAACAGCAGCCATTCAAAGTCTACAGAGAAGGTTGGACGCTCTTAGAGGAAACACACTACCGGAGACGCAAGGAGTGCTAAAAAGTGGGATAGGATTTCAAACACCTACAAGAGATCAAGGCTTGAAAGAGAATATCATCAGACAAACACGTACAGAAACGCCAAATGCTTCAGTGAAAATCACAGTTAAACGAACAACTAAAACATCAGGAGCAGGAAAAGCCAGTAAAGCTAACACTCCATCAATACTACCTGCAGCTACAGACTCTTTCAGTGCAGCTTCTCTGTTAAACAATATCCCAAGGGCCCCTTCAATATTTCAGTCAGCCCCTGTTGCACCTGTACAGCAAGTAACGCTGCCTAAAATACAGACCCCACCTGCAGCTCTGGTTCAAAAAACTTTACCAACAAAAGCAACACAGACAGCAAACCTTGCTGCTGCTGCTGCTGCTTCTGCTGCTTCTGCTGCTGGAGCAGCATCAGCCATTAATTCAGTGTCGTCAGTAGCGGCGGCCAAGTCCATGCAAAACCAGATTTCAGACATGATGGACACGCGGATGGATATGATAGGTGATATGGCGGAAGCGGGAATGTTAGGCGGTGGAATGATGGGACTTGGAGGTCTGAGTGCGATGAACAGTTTGGGTGGATTAGGAGGTTTGGGATCTATGGGCGGTTTGGGCGGATCTATGGGATCTATGGGAGCGATGGGAATGGGAGACATGATGGGATCACTCGGGGGTATGGGAATGGCGGGTCTTGGGATGGGGGGATTAGGGATGGGTAATTCCCTGATGGGTGGGGGACTGGGTGGGTTGATGGGAGGGGGGTTAGGGGGTCTAGGGATGATGGCTGCTTTCTCATGAGATACATTCGAAGGAAAATCACTGTCTACACATATATTTCTCCCAAATGTTCTAATATTATTGAGAGAAATTCTAAGACGATAAAAAACAAATAAATTATCAACTTTTGGTAACAATTTCTTTGATGGGATAAGAAAATGCAACTCTTGCAATTCAGAAAGAGCAATAACCAGCGAATGGAAAATGAATGTGAAAAAAGTGTGACAGAATTAATGTACCAACCCTTCATAATGAGACATTACTCTATAGAACACAAATATAAATCATTTTCGTCACTACCTATCATTTTCTGGACATTATATCCACGCATCCCTTCGTCATAGATGAAATTATTATAGCCATAAATGGACAGTAAAAAGCATTTATGAATGAACTTGACAGAAGCACTGACATTCAGTTTTAATCTAATTGTTTTGTATTTTACATCAATTGATGAAAAGTAATTTTTCTATTTTTTGCCTGAAATTATTTTCAAAAAAACATAAGATAAAATTTATAAAGATTACGGAAATTTAAAACAATTCAGAAGCATAAAATCTTTAGATATTTGTATTCACAGTTCAATGAGTAGATCGAAAGAGAATTATGCATTTTTGTGCGTTTCACATCACTTAACATTGCATAGTAGAAGTCATTCTGTTTTCATTTTGTCATTTGTAATAAATCATCTCAATTCATAACATAATATATTCCAGGTCTTCATTAGCTTTTGTAATATTTATTTAACAAACGTAGATAGCTTTATAAATTCTTTTTGTACATAAAATTATTTATTACATATATATAACAAAATAAATCAGTCTCATGCATTTGTCTTTTTGTTGTTCATTTAAGTATTTTTATGTTAAACAGCACATAGGTCGATAAACTTCTTTAAATATTCATGAAGATTGAATCATTTAGATGAAAGAACAAATAACAAGAATTACAATCTGAAAAAGTTAGGTCCAGCGCTTTCCTTGTATAAAGAAACAAAACGTGTAGGCTTTATAACAATTCCATTGTCTCATTCTAAACAAATTCTTACCCACTTTATTTTAGATTTTTTTTCCCTTTCAGCATTATATGTTATTAATATTCATGAAAAGATTATTATATACGATCATTTGTACGAAGTAATTGACCCTACCATTTTAAAATTCTTATTTAGCATTCTATGTTATTAATATTCATAAGAAGATTACAATATGCAATCATTTGTACGAAGTACATGTAAATAACCTAAATAACCTAACATTTTATAATTCTTATTTTCATGGATATAATTAAAAAAATAAACGATCTAAATCACGATGAACTATGTAAATACAAGTTGATCTTTAAAAAAAAACAGGCTTTTTACAGAATGTAAGATGAATGCGCTCTATCTTAGCAAATTTGTAGAAATTAAAAATTTCACGAGCATAATTTAAAACGCTCAATATGTTGGTATTAAACAATTGACAAAGCGATTCTCATTAAATTCTAACATAACATTCTACCATTTGAATATTTCGATTTAGTCCAAAAATTGCCATTTTGCCCCTGACCTGTCTTTTTATGTTTAGAACTAAATTCTGTGCAGTGTATTATAAAACAATTTAAGTCCTACATAATTGAAACAATCGACACACTGAGGAGGTTATGATTACATGACCATATAGAATTTACCGCTAAATTGTTTTGGAATACATTATCTTTTATGTATTTGCGAATAGGTCCCATGCAGAAACAAAGATGCAGGAAATTTTGCATTGTTTGCCAATCCTCTGGCGAATTTTCAAATATTTTCGTATCAGCTAACAACAATGAAATTAATAAAGAACATGGTACACTATCAATACAAATTTAGCCCTACATTTTTCTAAAAATAAAAGTGAAATAAGAAATTAAAATTCTTTCTTTTTGATTCAAAGGAATTCCATACAGTAAAATACACAAATCATTTTTCTCATATGACCTAAATGCTATTTTATTTTGAATTATCTTTCAAAAACATAGTCAGATGTGTGATTTTTCAATACAATTTACATAATATATTCAATTTTGGGCGACGAAGGTAGACACTATTTTCTAAAAGAAAAGAGGAATAGAAATGAGTAATTCTGAGGTTTTTCTGCATTAAACTTGAACTGTTAATGACGTCCCATTTTCAGAATGGTTTCCCTTCATGTCATATCCTTTAATGGTTTATTATATTCATCTACTCAACTCTTGTTAAAGCAAACTTCATAGATATTTAAGAACTTTACATTTTTAGGGCACAATAAAGCCAAAATCGTACATGTACCTCTTGTTTGAAATGCTGCAGTTCCCTTGGTGGTAAATTTTCAATAATGATTTTTTTCTGCATTACTTATCTCTGCACTAAACAACGTTTAACAATAAATACCGTCCAGTATGATTTACAAAGGTTTTCCTATTCATAATTTGACAACAACTTCTCCCGATTAATTATGTCAAGCGCAGTGCTGTAATTGATAAAGCAACAGTAAAGACGCTGCTTTTCTTCAACTTTTTCGAAAACAAATTTGTATGGAAAATACTATAATAGAGCATCCAGCTTAAAAACCGAATTGTGTATCTGATTTTTTGTTTACGTTAGTCTGATTTTTATTTATTTGTCAGGTATAAACAATTTGCATTTTACTACAAGGCTACAAATACAAATTAATCCAAACTGATCGAGGCAGTCTAATTAAGTAAAGATTGAAGTCTGATATTTACCAAAAAGAAGTTTATTAAGTATGAATTACCAGCTTCGCAGAAAGTCATACTTTGTTTCATGTTTCCCTTAAAGTTTATGAACTTATGTTGGTTCAAAATACGGTCATCGGAATATTTTTGAAACATTTACATGTATATAAAAACGTTTTATACAAGAAACATTTAGCGAACGAATTTGAAGAAGAGCGTTGATTTGCAACTGTCCAATATGTGAATGTTTGGTGTTTTTTTTGTTGTTGTTGTTGTTGTTGTTTTTTTTTTTTTGTTTTTTTTTTTGTTTTTTTTTTTGTTTTTGTTCTTTGTTTTTTCCTCTTTTTTTTTGTTTTGTTTTGTTTTATTTTTTTTGAAAAAAAAAATAAAGTATTTAGTTAGTTACACTATTTCCCCACACTTAAGTTTTTTATTCAAGTCTTGATATTGTGAGTTTAATCAAAATGAACTTGTACTATTTATATTGACACTACGAACTTGACAGACATAAAGGGTCTTAATGGAAGAAAAAAATTCCAAGCATAATCAAATAAACAGGAAATAAAAAATTATAAATAATGAATATTTATTTAAGTCTTTTTTTACAACAATGCATAACAATATGTAAACAAACTCAGAACTATACATAATAATTTGCATATTTAATATGCAATATAATGAGGAAGTCTCAAATATTGAATAGTTTTTTTTAGTTTATACGACATTGGGCTTTCCAAAAAGATTTCATAAATTGTAAATATAAATCGAGCTCTCCAACTTGTAAAATATATGTTGATTGATATAATATTCTTATTTCTTTTCATATTCATTTAATAATTCTAAAAAAAGTTGTGAATAAATATTAAATTCCTTGATAAATATGGGTCTTTTGGAAATCCCTCTATTAAATACAACATTTTGCCCAGTTCTTCAAATCGTTGGTCTGGAAAGAAAATGAAAAGAAAGTAGTTTGCATTTCTCAAGTACTTTACACAAATCAATATATTTTTCACCGGAGTATTCGTCCTGTCATTACATTGTACTAATAAATTCGGCAATACCTATTGTGCATGTTATTTTTGACTTGCATATATTCTAAATAACTTGAATACTTTTCAGATTAGAAAAAATTGCATTTTCATAAGAAAAAGAATAGCGTAATTTACAAAACCTTAAATTATCTGTATTTAATAACAATTTATGCGTATCGTAAATTGCCTGTACTTAATATGACTCCGATTTTGTCAATCTGGATTTTTTCCATGGAGGAGTCTATCATTCCGTATATAATAATAATTTAGAAAAACTTGTAACTAACTTACCTGTAATTTTTTTCCTGAATTAATCTAGAGTTTGTCTCAGACAATGATTCCGTTTACCTTGATTAACTATAATTCAGTTCACCTTGATGTACCTGTATTAATCACAGCCTTTGGTTCTGTTTACCTTGATTTGCCTGTATTAATCACAGTCTATGAATCAGTTTGCTTAGATTTACTTGTATTAGTCACGGTCTTTGGTTTTCTTCACCTTGATTAACCTTTATTGATCATAGTCTTTGACACAGTTTATTTAGATTTACCTGTATCAACCACAGTCTATGATTCACCTCACCTGGATTTACTTGTATAAATCGCAATCTATGATTCAGTTCACCTGGATTTACCTGTATTAATCACAGCTTATGATTCTGTTTACTTGGATTTACCTGTATTAATCACAGGCTATGATTCAGTTCACCTGGATTTACCGGTTTCAATCACAGTCTTTGATTCAGTTCACCTGGATTTACCTGTATTAATCATAGTCTATGATTCAGTTCACCTGGATTTACCTGTATTAATCGCAGTCTATAATTCGTTTCACCTGGATTTACCTGTATTGTTAAAAACAATAAAAAAAATTCATGAAAAATTATCCTTTACAACACTTTCGCTTTTGTTTCATTTTAACATCATTGATTTTTGATTCAGTTTACCTGGATTTACCTGTATTAATCACAGTCTATGATTCAGTTCACCTGGATTTACCTGTATTAAAGAAATATGAAATTCATATTTAAAAATTAAGTAATTATCACTTTTTATATATTTTTTTTTAAATACGGGAAATGATATCTGATTTATTTATATGTGTACCATTCTGGTGCACATCCACCACAGGGATTTGTTCTACATAATAAAGATATAAAACAATTAGTTGAAACAGGTTTTAAACACTAAAACTAATTATTTGAAAGAAAAAAAGGTGCCTAGGATTCTAGAAAAAACAGTGTCTCTATGTTTGAAACAAGTTTTATGCTTAGCATTAATTATTAAAAACCATACAAATTTAATTACAAATGTATTCATGAAAAATTATCCCTTACAAAAACATTCGCTTTTGTTCCATTTTAAAACCATTATTTATAATTTCATTTTTGATAAGTAAATACATGTAATAATGTGAAATTTTAAATATTTTACTTCAAGTTTGATACTTTTTATCCTTTTTACCAACGTGAAAAATGTTAAAGAGAATAAAACTAAGAAATATGAAATTCATATTAAAAAATTGTAAAGTAAATATCATTTTTTACAATTTTTTTTAAAACTTTTTCTTAGTCACATTTTTAAGTGTCTTTTTTTAAATGAACTTAGAGTTCATTTTATAATAATGATTTATTTATATTGTGATTTTATCAATGTTCCTTGAACACAAATTTTCGAGGATTTCGATGTTGAACAGATCCTTGAAATTCAATGTTCACTAAATTAAGAAAAATG